TGCATCGTCAAGGAAGTTGAGATAAGAGGACTTCATAAGAGACATACTTTGCATATTATGCACAAACTACAAAGTATTAGAATTATTTGTGCGCATGTATGCCCATAATTGCCGATATTTAATCCGCACAAATGATATTTATATTTTTATTATCAATTTTTACGGAGTATTTTATCGTACATTCGCCCCTTTGTAATTTCGTACCAAAACGAACCTTCCGAGTCTGCTTCCGAAAGAACAGATAAATCACGCGGGGTGGTTTTCTCCCCCAGAAAAGAGAACGTTCTGTATAGCGCGCGACGTAGATCTTCCTTGGCTTGATCGAGCCGGACGTACTTTAGCGTCAGGAACACCGAAAAAGAAGTCCGAATTTTTCGTCGATCCTGTTTCGGCAGATCGGAAATAGTTCGTGATGTATTTTATTGAAAAATTTGTTCTATTTTTCTTTGATTTTGGGCGGCATCGATATAAAATACGGTCGGCGCATCTATTCTCCCGAAACGCTCCGGTTTTCCTACGGTAACAAAATTTGCCGGTTCTGGATTTCAATCTTTGCCGACGCAAAGCGAAAGACGTGCCGCGCAAGCACAATCGTTGTGCAAAAAGCTAACGATCCGAGTTCGTTATTCGGGCTAGCCCGGTGCTCCCTGTTATCGATGGTTATTCCCAGTTAATCTAATGGATTAGGCGAAGTCCTTCGTAGTGGTAACGATAGAAATGTCGAAAATAGAGTGTTCATCGTATAGAAATGTTAGAGATATTAGAGATTTTGCGCATGTTACAATTAGAGAGACATATGGTTCCTTAGATTGTATACTTGTTACAATATTGCGATGTATATGTACCGATAGTCGCTTACATATCTTCACTTTTACCTTCGCCTTAATATATCAACAATGTATGCGGGATGAAACAGATTTCGACTGCGTTATATGTTACGTGATATAAGTAGTAAATAGCTAATCTATTAGAGTCTATAATCGTCGTATAAAACCTCTTTTTGAAAATATTTAATAAATCCAATAATTAATTACATATACGAAAAATAAGAATATATATTATATATAATTTAGTACGTTTATCTCGCATTATTAGCATTTAATGAAATTAAATTATTTTGTTTTGTATATATAATGCGTCTAGTAGTTTTGATGTTTACACAAGATTATTTATATGATGGATTATAAAGTATTCAACATTTGCATGTCGAATGTGCAGTTTAATCCAGCAAGGTAATTATAAGAAAAGCTGTAAATGCTTGAGAGGAACTGAAATTAATGATTTAAAAGACTGGAAATTATATCACAGAGAAGATAGTTTTGTTATGTTTTTTAATTAAAATTATATAAATAGATATATTAAAAAAAAGAGATATTCTATATATATTTATATATATGATGAATTGTTTGTATGTAGGTTTGGATTACCAATGTATTTTTATTGAGACATATCTATATTGAGAGATATACATATCTGATTTTGATATTCCTT